AGTACCGTGAAACTTCTTGGACTATAAAACTCTCCGGGCTTGAAGGTGTGAATTCCCCCGGATGCTGTATTTTATTCCCTAGGTCTGAACCTCTCTTCTGGGTCTTCTGAATGAAAAAAAGAATGAGGAGCACCATCGGGGTACGTAATGTTACGTCTTCTAGTCAGTCACAGGAAACACTTTCGTCTGAGTTTAGGGGACGACAATCGGATTGGAAATAAGCAACATCTACGGGGGGAATTTTGATGGTGGTGTTTTATAGTTACTCTGATCTCAGGTAGAAATACGCCTTATATCGGACTCGAACAAGGCTACCTGATCTGGACACCTTTCATGATTTTACATTTGAATGCAACCATGTCATATTCTGCATCTTTGAATTTCGGCCACTCGAAATTCTGCAGGGATAACAGCGCTCCTTTCGGTAGGCCGTAGCTTGACCTGCGAAACACACTGCACGGCAAAGTTAGCTTGGAATGCTGGGTGCAGTCCCTCATAAAGGAACTGTCTGAGGGAATCACCTCACCTCTTCTCGCGCCATGCAAAAATGAGACCCACAGTGTAGTGTGACATCCGTGCCCTTGGAGGCCAAAAGATACGCCTGCATGGTGAACGTGGGGGGTAGAACGCCCGTTTAGAACAGGCATTGTATCATGCAACACACACAACACCTGCAAATCCGTTCGTTGCAGGATCACTCACTGCCACGTTCGGAAGATTCCCGTGGTTACGTTCGCCCACGAGAATTTCTACCGTTCGGAATATTCGTGTGGTTACGTTCGCCCACGAAGCTGAATTTCTACGTGTGGAACGAGTAACACCAACAATCACACCAACGCGCAACCCGTGAATGGCCCCCAAGTTGCTGTTAAGCATCCAAGCATCAGAGTAACAAAAGACCAAATATACTTGAAGTTAGGCACCGATATAGTTTGTAAATAGTCACTACGAAACGTAACGCATTTTGCTTTAAACCAGGGGAAATCACAAACAGTATACTAGCACTGCTGACACTGGATGATGTTGTGACAGAAAGAGTAGAACGCGCGATGGTTTTGGGCCGTCCCAAAATTCACTACACATCAGCGTCAAAGATAGGTTGATGATTCCCATCAGAAGAGAAATTCGCTGTGCGTCCAGTTCGACTAGTCGTTGCTGCCTATTTTATATGTTCGTTTCTAATGATCTTGTGGTGTGCGGCCGCGCAATCTGAGTTTGTTGATCACGTTTGTTAATAAGGTGGGCTCTGGATGAACAAAATTCGAACGGTCTCATTATCTGGCTAGCTTAACAGACTACTGCGTGTTTGATTTCGGTTTGTTGGTTTGCCGCTCAAACAACTGGTGAGACAAATACGTTAGAGAAAACTCATTACGTTCTCGGATCCGATTACGTTTTCAGAAGCAATGCACATTCTTTAGGAGGCTAGTGAACAAAAGTTTGTTTAGGCTGTGTATCATATCTCACAGAAAGCTGCCCACAAAAGCCTCCGTTTGCAAAGCGGGGTACCTGCTTTCTTTACTTCCATTTTACTTCGTGCGGCTAACGCTGGCAGTCCCTCAAAACCCCGGTGTTCAAATCGACTCTGACGTAAACCTCGTTGATCTAGAATTCGCGGGCGTAATCCTCTTCGTCTTCTAAAAGGAAAAGTCACTTTTTTATGTCCTATGCACTTTGCACCCCCAAAGTCTACGGTCATGCTCGTTGACGTGCCGTCACTGAACGCGAGCAACTTAAAATCCAGTTAGTATTTGTGGAGCTTTTTACGTATCTTGGTAGCCGTATTAGTTCTGCTTGTAGTGTGACAGATGAGATCAGTGCATTAATCTGCAGGGGCCGGGTCGCATTTGCTAATCTGAGACATCTGTGCTGCCATGGTGGTGTAAACCTGAATCTCAAGGAACGCATGTTGCCGGCTACTTTCGTTGGATTGATGATCTTAATTCAAGGTTAATTCAAAGTTAATTCAAGGTTTAATGGTCTAAAAAGCGATTAACTTTACAAGGACCATAGGGTGAACGTATATACACAAAGGAACGCAAAAATATGCGTAATGTTTACTGAGTATCACATGGAGTTAAATAGTTCCAGATTCGGTTTGGACATAAGATGTGCATCTAAATTGTTCTTGAAAATGGTTAAACTCGGCGAATGTACAACATTGGGAGGTAGGGAGTTCCAAATGAAACATAC